TTCTAAATGTTCAATTAAAAAGCAAGTGAAGTCAAGCGAAGACTGTATGTTAACCTTTAGGAATGCTACGTTGCTTTTTACTTTGTCTTTAAGATGCTGTTTCGTTAACATATATGCCACATCCCTTATATTAGCTCATCTGAACCGAAAGTTCAAATGAGCTATTCTCATCACTTTGCGTCCTGGCTTCGTCCGTCATCCGTTAACTTTTACACTTTTACAACAATTCTCTGATTCTTCTGTGCCAAATTTAACCAAACTTGACCACACTCATCACTGGTGTATCTAGTTTATAAATGTGCCCGATGATCCCGCCTGCCAACCATTATGGCAGACATGGCAAAAATAGATCATAGGGGAAAAAGCAAGTTTTGGCGATTATTCTCCAAAATCGCTATCGATAGAGAAAATCTGACGAGTTCAGGAATGTTCAAAATATTGAGATCTTTCATCCGTTTACCTAAAAACTGTCACACGACTTCTTATAGGAGTTAATATTGTACCTTGAATTTTACCCCTTTTTAGGTTTGCCTATTTGCTTGAAACTATATAATAGATACAGAGAAACTTTAAAAAGCAAAATTGATCAGCAAGACAAGATCTACATAAGTATAAGTCATAAGGCTGAAATTGTCAGTCTACTCCTTATTGGAGGTATTGCACTTTAATGACGATTTTTACCAATTTAATGCGCTTTTGCCTATCATCTTGAAAACTAGAATAAATTCATGGAAATTTAGATAGCAAAAATGAACAGCAAGACAGGATCTGAATACAAGTTAACATTGCCCAAATCGACAGTCAACTCCTTATAGGAATTATTGCCCTGAAATAACTCTTTTTTATTTGCGTTTTTTACCCTTCATCTTGAAACTATGATAGATAGATACATGCAAAAATGATAAACAGAACTAGTTGTCGGTCAAAGTTGTTTTTGCCTTTTGATTTTTAATTTACATTTTTGGAGAAAACTTTTGTGGATAAAGAAAACTGCAAAATGCAAACAGCAAACATGATTGATGAAACAAGACAGGATCTACGGCCAGCATAATCGAAATTGTCAGTTGACTCTTTAAAGGTGTTACTTATTCTAAAGTGACAGTTTTCCCCATTTTTGTTTGTTTTTTTCATTTTGGGAAAACATTATAGAAGGAAGGGAGAAAAATTATAAAAGTATCAATAATCAACAAGACACGATCATAGAAAAATAAAGAGATTTCAGTCATTACTATATTCTTGTCTACAATGTTGGAGAGTGACCATTGTTGAAGATGCACATAAATCCTGGTAAGCGAGCCGACACTTGTTTTATAATATAATTATGAACACATATTCCCAACATTTTTACTGGTCTAAATTTTAGATGAGACGAAGTGTTTCAACAGAAATGAAAGGAAATCTCTCGGTTATAAATGATTTATCATCAAGCAATCATCGGGTAGTATTTATTTTACGAATAATCAATTTGAAGAGCAATGTAATCTGCAATTCAGGATCAAATTTTATCTATTGTATTGATATAATTATTTTGCAAACTACAGAAAAATCATTATCTGCAGTCCAAGCAAGTCAAATTACAATCATCTTTGTGACACTGATGCAGTATATCTTTAATATTTAGCTACATGTATAGATATACATCATACATCATTTTAGTCTGTCTTGCTGGCTACTGTCTGGATTGTCACTCTTGTGAACCCTATCATTTTAATGCATTGGTTTACTCAAATATGCTGTATATTTTTGCTCAGCCAATTAAACGCACCATTTGGTGGTAGATTCATAGAAAATCAAACTTAATTTATTTATAGATTTTTTTCGGTCTTGATATCTGCAGCTATTATTGAATTAACTATAATAGTATATCATAGTATTGTTTTTGGGGTTATCATGAAGCCATAAACTGTCATTCAACACAGTAAAGATTAAATGTGCTTTAAGAGGAGGGACAGGTAGTTCCAATCAGAATGCCATTCACTTCTGATAGCCACCTGGCAAAATTAACCTGTTTGCAATCCAATGCATTGTTTACTTCAGCATTCAATAAGCTGTGTACTCTGTTCTTTCTGGAATTTTATGCGACTGTCATACAAGTGACAGGTTTAGCTAGCTATAAAACCATCGATCACTTTCTACATAAGGAAATGCCTGTACCAAGTCAGGAATATGACACGGTTGTTTTCCATTCGTTTGATTTGTTTGAGCTTTTGATTTTGCCATTTGATAAGGGAATTTCCGATTTGAATTTTCCTTGGAGTTAGGTATTTTTTGGCTATTTTACTTTTTTCTTTAAATACATTTTTGTGTACTATTCTATTCCAATAACTGTTGTATCATTCCAATAAATACTACATAGCATTTTCTATAATTGTTCGTTTTATGCTCTGTGTTCATTGGTCAGATCTTCAATCTGCCCTTTGCTCTGCAGTTCAGTTTTTCTGTTTGTTAAACAATCAGTCCATAAGATCTAGCATTCAATGTGCATTGCTCTGTTTATGCTTTGTTAAACATAGAAATAAAGGAAATGTTTGCCCTTGGTCTGCTTTGTAATGAAATGTTTGTGCTGTCAGACTCGTCAGTGTTAGGTCTGCATACAATTCAGATTATCTTATGCCATCTAGTGCATTATTTTCTTTCCCTTTAACCATTAAAAGAATAGTGTCTTCTTCGATTCAAAGCATTACTTTTTTCTTGTCATTTAATGCACTTGTGTTTACTTTGTCATTCAATATATCATTCAAAGTTCTATTTTATCTGCCTTTCACCAGAGACATATAATACAATCTCTGCTTTCACTGGGCGGTTTGGTAGGCCATATTTTTTCTGTGCAACTCAAAGTACTTTTCGCTTTGTCATTCCTTGCTTTATTGTTTTTGTCCGCCATTTATTGCACTTTTCAGTCTTTCCTTCAACGTACTGTGTTCATTACTTGCCCTGCCATTCAAGCTATATTTTACTGTACTGTCCTATAACCAATTGCTTGGCTCTGCCTATGAAGATATTGTTTTCCATGTCATTTAATACAAAGTTTTGACTGCCATTCAATGCAATGTTTGGTATTGCACTAGTAGCTTCTGTATAACGTTGGAAATGGCCAATTCTTTAATGACTTTTTTTGTGGTTATTTTCTAGTTTTAATGTTGTTCATCAAGTGTTCAAATCAGGCCTGTTATTTATGTGTATTGTGAGATACTGTTAAATACTAAGTGTACTTTTTCAACGAACTTCTCCCAAAGAAGCAGTTTGTATGTGTTGAATGTATACAATCATGGTCACATTCTGTCCAATTGAGGATATAAAATACATTATATTTGTGAATACTGAATATATAAAAATATTATTCAGGATCTCTGCACTCAAGATCCCTTAAAGCAACTCCTGCAAAGTAGTATCTTTTGACAATGTGGAACATATTAATACACAGAGACATATATATGGCATCTACATTCTGTTATACTAGGAATGTTAGATTAAAGTCCGTATAAATACAGTTACATATGCATTTTGTTAGATTAGGGGGGTCTAGGTGGCAGAGTGGTTCAAGTAGTTCACTAGCCTTTGAGTTCGAATCACAAACATGGCAGGTGTGTTCAACTCAAATATTAATTGACCAGGATTGATAATTTTCCTACCAAAGGTCTGTGGTTCTCTCCAGGCACTCTGGCTTCCTCTACCAATAAAAACTGACCACCATGAAATACATAATAGTGCTGAAAGTGGCGTTAAACACCAATCAATCAATGTTAGATTAGGAACACAAGATCAAATACAGTATAAGTACTCAGTAACATAAATGTCATGTAAGATTAGAAATGCGCAAAAGTATGGTATGCTCTCTGGACATAACATTTATATCTCTTGATGAGAAGAATGTGTTTGTATGTGGAATATATAAATACACTATCATCTCCAACTGGAAATATGAATTAAAATTGTCACACATGTTAGAGGTCTAAACTTGAGTTCAACCAAAAGCTTTTATCTGCAAAGTGATTGCACCAAGTTAAGAATATGTCAGTCCATCACCAACTGTTCACCAATAACATTATATACTGGTCAAATTTGTGAACTGTCTCCTCAAATGATGATAGGAATAATTGATGACGAACTGTTATCATCTCAAATCAGGCTTAATTTTCTCTTTTGAATTGTTTCACATTTTGTTATGCTTGTCAGTTTATAGCTTACTATATGATATTATGTGTTTTCTCAATATTAAAGGCTGTATAATGACCTGTAGTACTTGGCATCCTTCGCCTTTGGTGGATAGTCTCTCATTGGCAATCCTACAAAGTCTCTTTGTGGGTGGACTTAGAAGTAAATTTCATTTTCACCAATTTTATTTGTTGGGGTTGCTCACCAAATTTTGTCAATATTACAGACTATAAACAACTGTCATACAAGAGGGAAGTTTAGCTAGCTGTAAAACCAGGTTTAACCCGCCATCTTCTTAAAAAAATTGCCTATACCAAGTCAGGAATATGACAAGCTGTTTTCCATTGTTCTGTTGGTTGTTATGTCTTACGTTAGATTTTGTCAGTTTTTATGGATTCTCCCCTTTTTGAATTTACCTTGGAGTTCAGTATTTTTTTAAACTGTTTTGGACAAGAAGCTCTGATGTTATTGGTAAGCATTTGATGGTTCTATATACCTCGTTTATAAATTAAGAAGTCTGATGAATCAAGAGTATGAATTGTAAGTGTATGAATTTTAAGAGTATGAATTGTAAGAGTATGAATTGTAAGTGTATGAATTGTAAGTGTATGAATCAAGAGTATGAATTGTAAGTGTATAAATTGTAAGTGTATGAAATGTAAGTGTATGAATTAAGAGTATGAATTGTAAGTGTATGAATCATAAGTGTATGAATCATAAGTGTATGAATTAAGAGTATGAATTGTAAGTGTATGAATCATAAGTGTATGAATCAAGAGTATGAATTGTAAGTGTATGAATTGTAAGTGTATGAATCATTTCAACAAAGAACAAATAAGACACAGTTGTTTCTTCACCTTTACTAAAAACCAATATTTTTAATCATTTAATAATAAAATGTATAAAGTTATCATGGGAAAATAACAATGTTAATTAATCAACCCTGAAATTAGGGTCACGAAAGTGGTTAATATCAGGTATTTACACCATTAACAATCAAAATAGATTAGATCCGGACATTCAGTTTTACAAGTCCATATTTAGTGATTGACACCAAACAATTAAAGCAAATCCATAAATTGCTCTTATTCGAAAATACAAATTACTCATATAATTACTCGGACTATTTCGTAATAATCCTAAATCAATAAATAATAAACAATAATGCTTTTATTGCTATGGTAATAAATTAAGTAATATCTATTAACTTAGATGATATGAACATTTTTACTATAAAAAAAAATATTAACACATAAGTCATATTATTTAACTGATATACTTTTCAATTATAATTCTCTCATTAGTAAGTCAGACTAAATAATACTAAACAATATGTTTAAAAAAATTTCGAAAAATTCTCTCTTGATGTTCTGCCTAATTTTTCAGTTTAGCAAATTGCATTGCTCTTCTATCTCAAATGTTAAACAATCTAATCTTGTTTACAGAAGAGGAATTTCTTTGTCTCCGTGAACAATTAGTCAATTCAGAATCTAAAGGATCATGGGTAATTCCATTGTTTGTATCCCAAAATGAAAATAGCATCATATCATTGGTTGAATTTTCATTGTTTACAACGTTGTTAGCCAATCACAATGTTTTGGTGTATGTTTTTGAAAATTTTACCCAGAATGCATTAAATTCTGAAATAGTGAATTACTTCTGGTAGTTTTGAGTATTTACATACATGTAAAGTTTGGTAATAAATAAGCCTTTCTACATTGCACTGTATCAGTATACTATATTTGATGTCAAGCATCTTTCATGGATGTTTGGAGAAGACACTGATCTATCAAAAATATACAATTTTATACAAATATTGACCTACAAATGAAATGTTATCCCTGATACTTTGTACACTTCAGTCTAGCATATACACTTTCTCATGATTCCTATAATATTTTTGGCCATTTTTTGAAGAAAAAATAATGTCTGTTCTACAATGTACATAGAAAATCAGAAACATGATTCAATCCCTGGAACTTAAATCCAATCCTCGTCTACTTAAGAGGTTATTTTGCCTTATGATTTTTTTTTCTTGCAACAATTGATTTTTCAAATCTGGTTTTGTATTGGCTAATTCTCGGGTACCATACAATAAAAAAAAAAACCAAAGATCATAAATTATTTGTTTTAGTTTAACGGAAAATAATGAAAAGTATGTTTTTTGTTATTTTCTTAATTCCAAATTTAATTTCATATGTACCCATTAAAAATATGATAAATGAGAGCAAAAACATGGAAAATGGAATGTTTATGAAAAGTAGTACCCGAGAACAAATCATTCAATTAGATTTGATTAATTCCTGCAACAACATTTAGTGAATTAGCACTTTTATATTAACAATCAACACTGAAATTAAATGTATCAAAAATCTACTATTCAAAACAAAAAACACTGCTGCACATCCAAAATTTCTATAAAAACAAAACCATAAAAACAATTTTTTACTTCATATGTAGGAATGTCAAATCTGGAATTAACCCAATTTTTTATCAGTTATCACCTGACTTTATAAACATATCTGTATATGAATATGTTCTGATGTTTCCGATTTGTTATTTGTTCTGCTATATCATAAAATTAGTCATAAAGGCTGTCAAATTGTCATCAAAATGCATACTGGGAAATTGTATAACCTTGTTTAATTAGATTTATTTTTACATGAGATTTAGAAAATTCACATTTGAAAATTCAGTGCTTTATTCCGGCTTCATTTCAGTTAAACACCTAATGTACTTATAATAAAACATTGTGCAAACCAGTTGCTACAAAGTGTTTATAAAAAAAATCAACAATCCTATATTAAACATGTACCTAACATAATTTCAAAAATTGACTTTTCATTCTTAAAAAAATCCCTTTCATTCTTCTATTTTTCTAAAAACTCATATTTTCATAGACCCATCAAAATATATATATATATATTTGTGAAACTAATTTTTTTTCTCAAAATATAGTTTTATTTATTTTTATCCCATTTTATTCCAAGAAAAAACTTCTAATTGTGATTATAAAAATAAAAATCCAAATTAGTAAACTGAAAATTTACACAATTAAATTCTACAATTACAAACATCTAGCTCGTACAATATGATGTTTGAAGTACAGACAAGAAAACTTTTTATAATTTTAACATATTTTTACAATTCTACTGATGAAAAGTTGCTTACTTAAAAAAACAAAACAAACTTTTTCATTTTTGAAACAAAATTGAAAATATATATGGCACATAAAACCTCTACATTACCTCCCTTAGATGGTTACTATGGTTACATGATAAAATTATCACAATGATGTAAAATAAATGCTGTTCATAGTCTATATCAGTGAACACAAACAGCAAAATCATGTCCAGCATGATTTAAGTTTGAGATTAACATATTCTGTCGTCTGCTACTACACTCAATAATTGGTAAGCAGACTTTAAAGTCACATTTGGGTCTGACATAACTTAATATAGTTATGTCTAATATCACATGTTCCTCAACAAGTCAATTCATATCTAACATGAGTCAGTTAAACTGCTCTGCATCCCTGTTTCCTATGCTATTCCAACCCTCTCTGAAAATAGATAAAAAAAAACAACATTAAACAATAGCATCCATTTAAATTTAAGAGATTGTTAAAAAATGTCTATCCCTAAAAACAAAAGCATTTATTGTATAGCAACATAATATTCCTTGTAGAATGTAGTCAAAAGCTAGTGTGCAATTTTCCTTAACCTATTGCTTATCAGATCGGATAGACTGACAAAACCACAAAAAATCTGAACATTGACCAATGAACCATGAAATTGAGGTCAAGGTCATATGAACCCTACCAGCATATCTGATAAACCTCCAAACCATGAAAAATTAACATTGATTACCTATGTATGTATCACATTCTGTGACATTCGAAGCAGGCAATACAAAAACAATAAAATATATATGTAATATACAGGTTCAATTAAGATTTATGTTAAAAGAATTTTCGTTTGTGAAATCTCTAAGAAAATGAAATTAAACATGACGGAACTTCTTTCCTACAACAACAAAGACAGCTAATAAATATAAGTGATTGTGACTTGCTTCACGTCTAGTGGCATGCTTTTAATTTATACTTACTATTCATGTTAAAAATATATGACTCCATCTGATTTATTTCCTTTTTGGTCTTGTTTGGGAGATCCTTGTTTACCATCTGATGAAACATTAGAAACCGGAGATTTTCCTTTGGCGCCACCAGGCTGAGCCAGTTTCATCACACCCATCAACTGTGAAGGTCCTGGTAGTTTTGTATTTGCCCGATTTGAGGTATAAGATTTTTGGTTCAGACTAGAACTACTGGCGTTTGTCGGTAATTGACTACTGGATCCTTGTGTAGGCAGGGAACTAGCACTATTACTACTTGCCAGTTTAAATGGCAGTTTATGTGATAAAGACGACGCTGAATTTTGTCCTGATAATTTTGTTGGAATCTGCTGTGGATTAATGGGGTTCACTTTTTGTTCATTCTTAGCACTAATTAAATGAATAGGCAAGTTCATTTTATTTGATGTAAAACTAGAATTAGGAATAGATGCTCTTGAGTCTGATCTTGAAACATCTGTTCCACGTCTACTCGTCTTTAAATGTCCTTGTCGTAAGTTTTCCATGTCATTTTCAATCAATTGACAAAAGTCTGCTGAGGCTGATCTTCGATGAGAATTATTACTTTCTACATTTGCAGGTGAACTTCGACCCTTATCAGGTCGAGTTTCTATGTCATTATTTGTCATTCCAGGGGAACTACTTATTTTAGATAGACTCTGTTGATGAGCTTCCTCCCACAAGTCTTGCTGCCGTTGTAACATTTCTTTTTTTCTCTTCAAGTCTTCTCTATGATTTTGAAGTTCAGACTGTAAGTATAAGATGGATTCATTCAAGAACAAATATTTTGGGATGCTTTAAATATTGTGGAAATTGCGAGGTGACAAGTTTCACAAAAATAAAAACTCGTAGAATTATTTGTATGCAGCATTTCCTGAAATCACAATAATCTATCTCAGATTTTTAAAAGATTTTTCAACAATCGTAATAATAAATGCATGCAAAAATATCTGCATTTTCAATAACCTTGGTTTGAAAGAAAATGTTAGCATTTTGCTTGATCTACTTAGAACTTTATTTATTCAAAAATCCAAAAATATCACCATTAATGCAGCGTTATAGGACTGGTGCCAAGTTGTTTTTATATAAATATAAAATAAATTAACAAATATTTCCCTTTTCTAAATATAAAATAAATTAACAAATACTTACCTTTTCTAAAAATTAAAAACAATCATCATTTCATTAATCTCTAATTTTGTAATAATAACTAAAACTTACTTCTTTTTTGTCTAGTTCTTTCCTCTCTTCCTCAAGAATTGTTCTTTCATGTTCTATCACCATTCTTTCTCTTTCCTTTTCTTTCTCCAGTTTCTGTCTGTCTCTCCTTACCTCTTCCTGAAGTGAAATAAATTATAAATATCAATCACTGTATAAAAGATTATTTTTGAAGGCCCATTGATAACTTCCAGATATTTATTTGTACTGTTTGTTTGCTGTCCCCGAGTGCTCGACAATGCAACATTTTAAATCATATTCATAAAAAAAATATGGACATCTGACCTATTTCAAGTACATATACCTGAGCATATGAAAGTGACAACTTTATACCCATGTTCAATTACAATATCAACCACAAGTGATGTCCATACATCACTGTTAGCTTTAAACAGTAAGAACTAATTGATTCATTATGTAATTCTTAAAAAGACTTAAAACATTTATTTTTTAGAGATTACTTGTGAAAAGATAAAACTTTGCCTCTAAGGAACGAGGTCTGCGACAACAAAAATAGTGTTTAAATGGAACGAAAAGATTAAACTATGAGAAAACAGTTGTTAATGTGGATACTTGTAGACTTTGCTTAGGATCAGTTAACTTACAAATTTTATGTAGAAATCTTTAAAAAAAAAAGACAGTTTATAAAAAACATTTGAGAATTTGAAATTGAACAACGAAAGACTGAATAAATTTCTATAAAAAATATGCAGTCCAGGAACCAGCATTTTTCCCTTATGCCTTGATTGAAGATTAGCATCATCAAACAAAGTTTACACACCTGTAAGTTACGAAGTTCCTCTAATTGATTATGTCTCAACCCTCCTTTCCTATCGTGAACCTCCGCTGATAAATTATTGATTTTTTCGTTTGCCTCAGCCAGTTGTGCCCTTAGACTCTCTACTGCTGTTACTTGTTTTTCTGTCAAATGCTAAAAAATAAAAATAAATAGATGATTTCTACTGCACTCTGTCAATTATCTTTTAAAATAACTTGGGAATGAAATAATTAGATGTATCTAAAAAAAAAAATAAACTGTATTCAACTCATTTTTTTCTAATATTGCTTGTATTGACTTGGTAAAATAATATTTAAAAGAAATATCTCTGTACTTCAATAATTATTATTATTCATGACAATAGTACACATGGTTCTGAACAAATGGGTTAAAATGACCAAACAAAAGTCTGATAAAATGACCTAGCAAAATGCAATATAAGTTACAAATGTACTTTAGGAACACGAATGGACATGACATTAGTTCATAGTTTACTATCAACTTCAAATGTATGTCTATAAATAATGTTTTCTGGGTTAATTGATATGGGACTTGAAAGACACTTTATCTATTAACTGACAAGATTTTAATATACTTTTAAAAGATTCAAAATCAAGATAAAATTGATAAAATCTTCTTTTTCACATTGAGCCTTCATTCTGAACAAGATCATAATAATTATTACTGTGTCTTAAAGGTATCCTTGTACTAATTTATGTTGGTGCACTTCTCACGTTTTGACACGAAAATATCAGATTATGTAATTTACTGGGTATGAAATCTATCTGATAAAGTTAGATTTATGTACCATGTGCATCTATCTTTCATAATTCTAATCATTTCGGATGAATAAATGTCATTTTCATTCAATTGTGGTTTCCATTTCTCATATATTTATAATTTATGTGTTACTTAGGGACGAAAAAATTCGAAATTTGAAAACTTAGTCATACTTGAAATTTTACGAGAAAATAACAATAATTTTCACTCGTCTAATTTACATTGACAACTTAACCTTGATTAAATTGATATGCTTTAAAGTTACGTAATAAAATAAGCAATACACCGTATTTGTGAATGAAAACTGTCCATGTTAATTTAACATCAATCAGATCAGGTATTACCTGGTTGAATATTCAATGTTATCAGGCAAGCATGTCAGTCATATTTTAAAGCAATTGATTTGCACAGGAGAGACCCAGAAAGATACAATCTCGTCAAAACAGTAATACAATAAGCTTGTAATAATTTGCACTGATTGGCCATTGCACTTTGCTCTAAAAGTACAAATGGAAACCTATACATGTCAATTTGAAACACGACATTCTTTTGACATTCTTTTGCATCGTCAAACAAAAACATCATAAAATTGACCAACTCAACCTTATCAAACAGAAATCAACCTCATAGATTTCATTTTTTCCAATTGTCATGACAGTTCTTGTAAAGAACTTTTACCAGATTGTCAACTGACTAATAAATAAACAAATAAAATCAATATACCACCCTAAATTCAGCATGAGACTTCTAGTCATTTAAAAGTTGGAATTTTTTTTTAATTCAGATAATTATTTAAACTTTTGTAAAGAATGATGAATAAACTTAGATGGTAGGCTGCAGAGTCCCCATTTTAAAAAAAAATGTTGAAAAGTCCAGAACATCATCATGGATACCTTGTTTTTTTTTGTGAAGCAATATATGTAATATATTCAACAGTCTAATGTTAGAATTTGTACCTAAATAATTGTCAATATACACACAATCATAACAGAATACCATGTTATGACAAATTTCTGATATCTTTTCTACTTTTATTCATTTGTTCAAAGAGAGCCTTACAGTGTTCACAATCTCATTGCACTCTCCTTTAAAAAGTTGAGAAAAAATATCTATATGTTAAGAGAATCACCAAACTTACTACAATGCTTTGAAGAGATCTTGAGAGCTGGGCTATTGAATGGACATGGTCGCCTGACACCCACATTGAATATGTAGAGGAACCAGACATATCACCATAGGAACCATTATCACTACTGTATCTATCATACACTTTACTACTGTCCATAGAGTCATCATGTTCAATTTGCTGTGAACGGAAACAGAATAATTTGAATATTTATTTAGATGTGTATCCAAACCTTGCTTTATCAAATGAGAAAATAATGTAAAATTGACCTTCTTACAAAGTCAAAATGCTTTGAAGTGATTTGATATCAATGTCTGAAGTGCTTATCCTAAAATACTTTATTGTTATATAAAACATGTAAAGGCTAAACTATGCGTGTCAGTGGCTAAATACCATTGTTTTTGATAAAAATACTATAAAAATATATCTACTAGAATCATACTTCAGATAAGAATAATTCTCTTAAATTCTGCTGATATTGCAAAAAAAAAGAATGTTTGTTTATATGACTCATGATATTAAATTCACTGCATTGATAGAATAGTGTATCTTATCTAGCAATACTAGCACACACCTTGAAGATTGAAGATTATGTCAGAGATATAGTCTGTTTACTTTTTAAAACACATTCGTCTGTAATTTCATTAATAACACTGTTTCCTTGGATCTTTTTCAGAAAATGTTGTATATAATCTATTATTTATAACTTTACACTGGTGAGATTGTAAAATTTTCTATTTTGGTTGTCAATGCCAACAACAAAGAGCTACAGGCGGTTAAAGAGTTCAGCAATGAAGAAGTACAATACATCCCTTTTCTTTAATCTTTTCGATTAAAAAAAATTTTCTTCATGATATTCTTTTCAGGTATAGAACCACTAATTCAGGCCCGGTCGGAAAGAACATACAAGAAAGTAGTACATATTTTAAACAAAATAGTTCCTACGCATAGCTGTATCTTTGTCAATAGTGGGAATATTTGGGTAGTTTTAGTATCAAATGAAAGCTTGGGTACTTGGGGTCACTGTAGAACCCTTGTTGAAAGTTTTATTTGAATAATAAAGAAGTATAGGAAATTTTAATAGGAGGGCTCATTTGGCCTGTTGTTCAGATCAGAAGTTCCTGTTTTTGTACTATCAAACTTCCGGGAACCAGTACGCTCTAATATGCAATTAAAGGTATGTTGATTTTTTCAGCACAAGTCAGCATAAGGTACAGTTTTGACATGAAATAACTGCCACTTTATTTGAACTTAAGGTAAAGTAGCCATTTATGCTTGAAATTGCAGAATTTAACATAGAAAGCAATGGGGCTATAAATTAGTGGTTTTATACCTATTACTGACAGGCATGTGAAATTCTATTTTTAGAAATCATACCCTTTACAGTGAAAATTGGTCACATTTGTTGTCAGAAATCATGTTACATTATTTTTTTTATGTATTAATTATGTTAGTGTCAAATTACAACCCTCAAATTGCTACAATAAAGTATTTTAGCCTTTTTTGGTCATTTAGCATGCACACAGTTAAGATTTTACCTGAAATTTAAATTTTTGGATTATCTAACACTGAAACCAATGAAACTTGTATATCATGACTAGTTTATAGTATAAATATTGTTTTTGGTCAAATTATCTAGTGAGTGTTCATGTTTCATTGTGTTTCTTGGTGAATTATTTATTTCAAGGAAAATTGGTGTATACTTATATAGGAATTCCAAAATCTCACTTGAAATGCATTTTATAACCAGTTTAGCAAGTTGTCTAGCTTGGAGATACATAAATTGCTTTGTTGATCCATGTTTATACATAAAAGTATGGTTTTTTTACCTAATCACTCTCCTTTTCCAACATGTAGAAAAAAGGGGGGACAAAATTATCAATTATATTTTATGTTTGGACCACTATATTTATATTCAAGGTTGAATCTCTGATAAAAATAAGACATATAGATAAGAACACTGTTATTTGAGTAGATATTAACAAATCAGAACTGGTAAAAATTGAAAAAGTGTCATATCTGTCACTATTAGTATCCATATGTAGTTTTCTTTGTTTAACGCATATGTTACTACCAGTCCAATTTGAGCTTGAATTCAGTGATATAGTGTTTTGACAAAAGCTTTATGTGTTTTTCTATGCTAGAAATAGATCATAGAAGGAAATTAAGTCAAGCAGAAGTCAATATTACAAGTTTGGTGCTGTTATAGGTATAGAACCACTAATTCAGGCCCGGTCGGAAAGAACATACAAGAAAGTAGTACATATTTTAAACAAAATAGTTCCTACGCATAGCTGTATCTTTGTCAATAGTGGGAATATTTGGGTAGTTTTAGTATCAAATGAAAGCTTGGGTACTTGGGGTCACTGTAGAACCCTTGTTGAAAGTTTTATTTGAATAATAAAGAAGTATAGGAAATTTTAATAGGAGGGCTCATTTGGCCTGTTGTTCAGATCAGAAGTTCCTGTTTTTGTACTATCAAACTTCCGGGAACCAGTACGCTCTAATATGCAATTAAAGGTATGTTGATTTTTTCAGCACAAGTCAGCATAAGGTACAGTTTTGACATGAAATAACTGCCACTTTATTTGAACTTAAGGTAAAGTAGCCATTTATGCTTGAAATTGCAGAATTTAACATAGAAAGCAATGGGGCTATAAATTAGTGGTTTTATACCTTCAGGGATCATAGAATTTTGAGCAGTGTTAAAAGAAAATAGTCTGTCCAATTTTGGTACAAAAGGCACCCTTAATCCTTGACAGTAGTTTTTAAAAGTGTTAATGACTCTTCAACACAAGATAAAAGATGGTAAGCTTTCCAACATAAAAGCCAATAATTCAATCTAACTCAGAAATGAAGGATGCTAAAAAATCAGATAGGATGAAAAAAAAAAAAATGTCAGATGATTTGAATTCAAGGATTGAGAACCTCTTTCTTCTCTTTAATGAGGTAGTGTGATTCATGTTCAGTGTTCCAGCTAGGATTTGAAATCAGAGGGGCGCGTTTTTAAAAAAGGGCACTTTAGCGCGTTCTCACTGAAAAAAATCAAATACTTAATATTACCACATAATGACATATTTTTAGCAAGCATGTAGCTAAGTTAAATACTCTATACTATTACATACATTGAAAATTGTGTAGGTTTGGTTGTGAATTTAAATAAGAGTGCCAATGAGACAATTGTCTTTATTTCGATCTTGAGAAATAGATTAATTCAACAAATAAGTTTGTTAATTCAACTTTGAAAGTTTATTATCAATTTAACAAGCATCTCCGTATATTTCATGTTGAGCGTATCTAATAATATCAATAAGTTTGTCAAAACGGATTTCAATAAGAAAATTGATACAAAAATTGGACTTTCGAGAGCTCCGTAATCGGCACAATAATAAATTAATTCAACTTTGAAAGTTTATTATCAATTCAACAAGCATCTCCGTATATTTCATGTTGAGCGTATCTAATAATATCAATATTAAAGTTAGTCAAAACGGATTTCAATTTAAGAAAAATGATATAAAAATCGGACTTTCGAGTGCTCCGTAATCGGCGGAATTTACAATAGAAGAACAATTGCGATATCTGATAGAAACCTTTCTTCTTCTCGATTTTTCATAAAAGTAAAGAATTAAATTATTTTTTTACCTTTGATGGTCATTATTCTTGAAAAAAGATGTAATAGACTGGCAAGTCTTTGATATTTTCTTCTTGTCATTTTCGAGTTGGTCAATTTTTCTTTTTTCGTCGGCATTTTGCGTGTTGACGATTTACAATATACTATTGGAATGATTCTTTTTTAACGAACGTTATTTTATAAATAACAAATACAATAGAAATGGACATCGTTCACATTTATTTTATAAATTCTATTTTGCATCGTCAGGTGTTAAAAAACAATTCATTTAACTTGGATGTTTGGTACTTCCGGGCAAAGGGATTAGACAGGGTCGTAAATTTCACCTGATTAAGTAATTGACTCTAATCAAATAGGTGATTATATACAGGTAACAAGTGTCAACAATTTTGATCTGTTGTCTTTATGAAGTGTGTGTATAAAGAACTCAACAAAATGGCGACGATATGAGGAAAAAAGATTGTTTTTTAAAACTTTTTTCAAAAGGGCACAGAGGGGCGCTTAAAAAAGGCAGAGGGGCGCAAAATTTCGGGGGCGGGGCGCGGCGCCCCTCCATTTCATGCTAGCTGGAACACTGATGTTCATCTAATAATCGGCTCATAGTACTTTATTACTTGCATATCTTAAATTGGAATAAACCTATTTTCAAAATCAGGTTGAAATGGTACTAATATTTCTAATGTCATGGATAAAACAGCTAGTTTAAATAAATAAGTCCCTAATTTCTGTTGCAAGCAATTTTCACTCTTAAATCTTTTTGGTATAGTACTTACCTTATATGATGCCATAGAAACATCGGCAAGTTGAGATAACTCTGAGTCACTATCTACTGCCCTATCTAAATTTTGTAAACTACTTGAAGTTTGACCTTCAAGTTCTTGATCCTCTGATATTTGCTTCTTCTTTGGTAATAAAGCTGTAAAAGAACAAACCATGTGTCATGTAGCTACCATATTCGACTTGTGTATCATATGCATTTGTGTATAATACGCACCCCTTTTCATCCCCCCCTAATTTCTATCCCTGTAAAGTAATGTGTGCAATCTCAGCAACAACTTAAATGAGGTCTGGACCAATCAAAATGTTTACAACATTGAAGCTCCTATACAACAACACCGTTTTAAAAATGGTTCATTAACTCTTTAAGGAAATAAACATAACAATTTATATCAACTGTCAATCATGAATGTGCAATAAAAATCAACCAAAAGACTTAAAGATGAAATGGAAACAGACAAATCATTCTTGAAAGATTATCAATTTAACATATTCTATCTATCAAATGAATTAACCTTTAACAGATATTCTTTTCCAAAAAAAAAAAAAATCCTATTTAACATGTGAAGAAGATGTTGTAATTACCTTTTGGCACCTCAAACTGACTATCAAATCCTGCAAATGTCTCAGCCCGTTTTGGCACTGGTGGTACTTGGTAGGAGTTACTGAAATGTTCCCCAACACTACTGACATGACGACTTAGCTGAGAACCATTTCCATTATTTCCTTGTAGTATTGTGGTTAAATGTGATGCAGTCACTGAAACTGAGACAACAAGTACAAATTTTTAATATGCAGTAATTGAAACTAAGAAAATAAGTACAAACTTTTAATTTGATTTAATTTTGATAATACTGTAAACCACAAAAATGTTACAATAACAAAGATATGTTTGTTTGTAGTAGATACCTTTAAAAATGGTCTTTGATTTTTAAATCACAGGTGGATAACTTTAGATCTTTAATAAATCTTATATCAAAGTATAAATATTATTTATACAATAAATTTATTTCATTAAAAGTAATTAAAATATAGTATTGAAATAGTTCTACAAAGGCCAATCAAATCCCTTTACAATAATATAAATATAATAAAATATAATAACCAAAGATAGATAACTCTAGCTTACCTTCTTGAAGAGCTGCCTGCAGTGCTTCCATATGTTCAGTGCCTTCGTCTTCCATTGAACCAGGTCTCTGGAAATAAGAATTCAACTATTTCATTTGCTTTACATTGTCATTTTTTCAAATGCATATTATCTGCACAGAAACAAATACTTGAGTATGCTTATAATATAACAGTATTCACATCACAGAAGTTGCTTAATAGTTGTACTAACTATGGAATTTTATTACCTTTGTCTTTTAAAATTCCACTAAAAAAAAAGGTTTCATCTATCACAAGAGAAATAGGAATTTGTATTTAACCCCCCTTAATCCACCCCTATAAAACCATTTGTAATATCAAAGCAGAACAGTTACATTTTTATAGAATATACAACCATTCAAAAAATGACACCAATATTCATCTATTGTCGTAATGGTATATTTTCAGGTCTGTAAAAGACCCTAATGGTAAGATATACACACATAATGTACTATTGAAACTTACCTGAGATCTATTCTCCTCTCTACAGCTGTATATTTCTAACAGTTCTACCATTAGTTTATTTTTGTCATCACAAATCTGCTTTATTTCGTAATCTTTTTTATGCAATTGTTCTACAAATGAAATTAAAGCAGCTGTTTTATTACCTGATTTTAAGTAAAACTGGCTTTTTCTTGTGAATAAAAAAACAACTTTTAAAGTACAATTTCATAGTTGAGTGCATTTCATAATCCTACTGGTGATCATAAATTGCAGAAACAATCTTTAAAAATCTTTTTTAAAAAGTTTTTTTTAACAAACTTTTGCATTTTTGTATTTGTTAATAGTTCTTTGTTGTGTATTAAATTCCAGTGAAAAACACTTCATGCATATTCATGATGAGAAGTAACTAAACAAATATAAGTAATCCAGTTTAGCAAGAGAATATAGTAGCAGAAATTATTGTTGGTTAAATAAAGAAAATTACCAGTAAATAATTTCCAAATTTCTTTTTCATAATCTAATAATAAAAAACTTACCAATGATTTCATTGACCTTAGCTGACCTTGATTCCGTCAATCTTCTTTGTTCTTCTCTTACACTATCTTCCTCATCAACTATAAACATAAATAAATTATTATATTTGATTTTATGTTCAAAATTGCAATTGTGATTACTGTTTAGTTGATAGCTTGATGGATACTCAATATCTATAACCAAATATAACATAAAAATTGCAAACAATAACTTGTCAATACTGTAAGTTCATGTTTTCATTATTGTGAAATTTGCAATAAGAAATGAGTTAAAAAAAAAAAAAAAATAAAAACTTCCATTTTAAATTTTGTTAGAATTATTTGTATGCAGCATTTCCTACACTACTTTGTTCAACAATCACAATAATAACTGCACACAAAAAATTCTAAATTTACAGTTTATGAATATGAACCCGCTGAATACTAAACTCGGTTTAATTTTCAATGTGCTAGCTTAATCAAAAGGGAACAGTCAAAAGGAAGATATGTAACTGTATATTGAATCCTAGCCAACCAGGTTTTGATATTACTCCTAAATGCTCTGTGCAGAGTAGAGAAACTACAAATACCAGATTTGAAGTCTTTAGCTTGACCCAGCCAGGATGAATCACAAAACATCCTGAACCTGTCAAGCATACTATCATGAGACCACCTAGGTGCTCTGAAGCCTGCTTTAAACCTCAAGTCTCAAACTTTCATGTCAAATTTGTAAATTTTATTTTTAAATCTTGCATTTTAAAATCAGTTTAGTAGTTGTACCATTGGCAATCATACCATCCTTATTTTTGTATAAAGAAAATGGCAGATAAATTTTACCTTCAGCAGAATCTGGGGGACAGTTAGTGGCAGCTTTCTGTAATATAGATATCCATTTCTGTCGGTCTGTTGATGTATTACACACTATCTCATACATCTCAGGATTCTTCTTGTTATGACTTATGAGGTATATTCCACGACTATCTCTAGTGTCACACTTTTCCCTGACCAGCAGTTCAAAGAGAGGTATTACACAGGACTGAAAAAATAAAATTACGTTTATTTGAAACATTATGCACCAGAAAAAAATATATGATTATTATACATATTGTAACATATATAAACAAATCTATTATTATAGGAATTGCAAATATAATTATGAAAGACATGATCATCAATTATATTCTAATGTACTGAGAAAAAGAGAATAACGGTCTGCTGCAAAAAAAGATTGTAGGTTTTGATCCTCCTCACTCCAGTTTTACGGTCATTGTTCTGTGAGCTTTTGGACAGAGTTCAAGACCTAAATGACTTTTAGATAATGGCAATAAAAGTGGTTTTCTATAGCTTTGAGTCTTGTCAAGTTCACAAACGAATTTTATGTCTTGAACCAAAACAGCATATCTTTTTTTTTCCATTATGTAAAATATATTATATTTCGCAGAAAACTGATTCAAACTAAGAAACAAAAGGTTCAATTTAATAATTCACCATTTTTAGAATAAAGTGAATTGCAAGAGAAATAGTTTTCTAAATGCAACCTACACAGGTTGATTAATAATTATCATACTTATCCTTCTATGAACATACCTTGTCATCTTGGGATTGAAAATTGTATCTTCCATTAACATCTTGCAGGAAAAATATAAGATCTGTTAAAACTACACATATTACTTCTGCAAAATAAAAGTGATTTCATTATAATACATCCATATACCAAAGACAAAACCAAGTACAATGTATTTAATTTTACATCTCTTAATTAAAATGACTATTGATAGAAAGAATTTTTAGCCATAGGTAGAGTTTCACTATTGATATTTCACCTGTTACATGTCTCGATGCAATGTAATTTTGTTTCTACCAAAGCAAATTATCAAGAATCATACTTTCAATTAATTTTTATTTTTTTTATAAGTAAATGGAAGATAATTCTAAATTGCCTCCCTTTGCCTTACCTGTATGTTTTCCTCTAGCACTTCTCATGTGGACCTGACCATCATACACTAAACTTCTATTGTTCGAATATATATCTGATCTCTTAAATTTTCTGTTTTTGTATGTTGCAAAGGACTTTGAATCCAGTTTCTGGTAAATTTCTGAAAGTCTTCGTTTTAATTCATATGCATCAACATGTTCATCGATTCCTTGAAGTAACTCTTTACTTAATTGTAATGCTTTACTTAAATTCTCTCGGTCTTTCTTATCTGAAAAAAATATTACAAAATGTAAATAAGAATGCAAAATTAAACAAAAAATATTAAAAACAACAATTATTCTTTCTCCAAAAAAAGATTTTAAAAAACGCAAGTGAACATCTCTGAATAATCACATTGAAAAAAAAAATGACTGAAATTTTCTTTTGATTTGAATATTACCAATATTGGAAAACTTATAATTTCAAAAGAACAATTTCACTTCATTTGTGGTCCAACATGATCACATACGACCTGTGACCATAGGGGGGTTTGGCAGGCAACCTTGCGGTCTGACATCATTTAAAAGAACCTGGGACCTTTAAAAATGTTCAAAACCGTTTTATTTAAATGTTTTAATTGCTTAAAAGTAACCTAGTGACCTGAAGAAATTTCTAAATGTTACCTTGTGACCTAAGGGGTGTACCCTACTGGAAACCCTAGTCTAGAGATACATTTAGTACCAAAAAATCTATTTCACAAGTACTCATTTTTCATACCATATATGTTCTTTACATTTTTATTATGGATACAATCAGATCAAGCGAAAAAACTTGTCTTGGCATTTAATGTTGAACATTAAATGTATTATAATGAGAGTTTTTCAACAGACAACTTCAACTTCTGTAGAACTTACCTTTTGTACTTTTGAGTATATGTTCTATGAGTATTGGGTATTTGGTTGGACGTTGAGTTACTAACAGTAAAAATGATGGAATATCACGCTTTTTACATAAACTGTGATGACTGCATCTCTGGAATAATCAAAATATTCAAATAATTTGAAATGTTGTATTATTATAAAATTGTTTCTAAAAACGAGCATGAAAATATATTGTATATAATGCAATGTTATAAATGCTGTAGCAAAATATTTTCAATTTACAATGATTTTGATATTGAACAACATGTGTGATTTTATATGTCTTTCTGAACTTCTTCCCATTTTAAAGCTTAGAATAGAATACCAAAATCTGATGTTCTTCTTTAATCATGAGCAGACGGAAAAGATTCAATGACAAATAAACCAGCAACCAATGATGAAACACTGATTAACCATATTAAATGCATCTTCAGTTCTGCCATTTTATGTTAATGAGTCAAACAAATCCTGAACTCATGTAACAGATATCACTCACACACACATAAACCATGAGACACAAATGGGTAGTTAGTGGTCAATTATATTCACCAGTCAGACTTAAATAGTAGCAAGTATGAGTGTTTCTGTATACCAACTAATGTGATACGGTTAACATTTCCGGTTTTATTGTTGTAAGTTGCTGTATAACTGACGAACAAATATTCAATGCATTTTATCTAAAAAATTCATATTGAAAAGTTTTATTGAAAGCTGTCCGTCCATCTTTATCTTACCTGTATAAAAGTAACGAATTTTCTATCTTTAATTAGAAGATCTTTATAAAATTGCACTGATTCTTTTTGATTGGCACAAAATGCTCCATAACATTTCTTCATACTTTCTGCTGACTCATCATTAAACTAAAATAAGAAAAACATTATCAATCATGGGTTCAGCATTTTTTATAATGGGAGTCTCATTAGGGGAGGGGGGCACTTATTGTTAAGTCAGATTCCAGCATCCCCCTTATCATTGTAATGATTACACTTGTAATTTCACATGTCCCGCAAGACTTCCTTCCCCGTTTTCACGATTAATATTTTCACGTGCCATGGGAATCGGCCAATCCTGCATCACGCTTAGACCCGAATGAGACCCACTATAATCATCCTACCTTTTAACAATTAAAATTTCTGAAGTTTTGTTAAAAAAAAATATTTGAAATATTGTAAAAAAAAAAATGTCATCTAATTCACACAGAAATCTCACCCTCTGAAATCTCCAAATTACTAGTGTATATACCCGGAATTTTCAATTGATCATTCATAACATTCTTCTCCTCATTATATATCGAAACTGATTTGCTAAAATATTAGACGTTCAATCAAAACTAACCTGTCTAACTAAAGTATCACCAATAAATTCCACGCTATGGTCAGGTCGTTTGTTCTGTAAATCTTGTAAGTTTTGAAGGAATGTCATATGAATATCTATAAGTTCATCTAGTTTTGGGAACAATTTGTCAACGGTTTCTGGAGGCATCAGTAAATCGTGAAGTATGCCCTGACTGTATACCTAAAAATACAATAACATTATAATAAATACTCTAAATGATGATGTATGTATTGAGAACATGTTTTTTTGCTGTCTTCTTTTGTCTTTATTAAAAAAGTAGCCTGTGTCTAAAAAACATCAACACTATGGCTCAATTCTAGATTGCATTCTTAGATTACAATTCATTCAGTAACTTGCTAACTTTCACGTCAACAGAACCATTTCTTTTGGGGTTCAAGCTGTTAAAATTACAGTGTTAAAAAAAATCACTGTCCTAATCATTTTAAATAGGCTTGTTGAAATTCCTTTACTATAAAACAATACAAAGTTTTCAAGGGTTATTTCCCTTTCAATGTATTTTTCTTGATGGAATGAGAGAAAAGAAAACAAAGAAAGGTAAACAAACAAACCTTCTGTAAAATTTTAAGTGTTCTGCAATGATGTCTTTCTGTTTGTATCAATTCTGAAAAAAAAAAATTTATTATTTCTGTTTTACTTAAATGGTTACATTGTAAAAGTATAACTCAAAATGATATTAACTCAGATTTTAATATAAAGGTACAATAATCTACGTAAAATATTTAAATCATATATAAATTATGCAATGATTCTTTTATTGACATTGTGAAAAAATATGAGTTATCCTTAATTGCAACCCCAGTTCAAATCTTTAACTTCAAGTATGACTCGGCCTAAAACAAACTTTTTCTTTTTCTTGTTTGAATTAATGTACATTTGTCATTTCGTGGCCTTTAATAGTTCACTGTGTGGTATGAGTTTTGCTCATGGTTGAAGGTCATACAGTGACCTACAGTTGTTAAAATTTACGTCATTTGACGTGGAGAGTTGTCTCATTGGCAATCATACCACATCTTCTTATTTTTGTATTGAATTATAACACTCCAAGACTATAACAAAGTTGGTCTTATACATGATCTAAACTACTGTTCTTTTTAAATTTCAATCTAAGTTAATTCATTTTGAATTCAAACAAGTATTTCATTATAAAAATCAGATAATAAAAAATGGTACATGATTGACAATTATACCATAAATATTTGAACAGCAGCATTGCATCATTACAAGATCTTATGGTGCAAAAGTAAAGACACCACATTATAAATTCTGGAGCAGAAATTAAAAGTTGTACCATACAATGTAAACTCACCCCAAATTGTGTCCTGTCGTTTTATATCTTTCGAGTTCATTTTCTTTAAAATCTGTTGATCAGAATAAAATTCATTCATTGTGACTGTTTTAAAATGAAATACACACTTGCACAAAGGATTATCACACTTCTAAGAATGATGCCTTTCTTACTTCAATATCCACACAATAAATATAAACAAGTACATAGCACTAATTCAAATAAAATTACAAAAAAATAATCCATCAACTACCATTGATCACACATTTTTTTCTAGAAATACACATTCACAACTAAACATGTCAAAACTCTCAATTGTACAAAAACTGTTAAAAGCGTTCATGAATCTTGTCACAAAGTTTAAACTGTGCATTGTCCATCAAACTGTCAATTTCCATTGATTTGTTTTAAAGGTGTAAATTTCAAAAAGTAAAGTCAGCTGATTGAGCTCAGGTGTGAATACAGGGAGAGAATCACATCAAAGAGCTTTAGGGTATTAATTAAATATGAGAGGACCCATTGTTATCTTTAATTTATCTGTAATTACACATCAAAAAGATAATCAAAGGATTTGTCCTACATAATTGTGACATATAGAAACCATTGAAAAACTAATGACATCAATTGTTTACTTTGTAATTAACATATGACAAAATCCATGAAATCTGTAAATGTAAAATTAAATAATCTCTACTTTTCTTATTATTTGCATTAGTACATGTATATCCTTCAAAATATATTTGTAACAGAAAAACATTCCAGTATTTCAACAATTTTGGTTGACTTTGTTTTCTTATTTTTTTACTCATACATTTGTATTTCCATTTTACTTGGGATTTTAAAGACATCTTACAAACTACCACAAATAGAATTTTTTTGGTGAACATTTGTATATATACATATATATATATTTTGTAAAGAGCTGAATTATCCATAAATATAATTATTTGGTTGAGTGTCCTCTACACCTGCCCTTGGTGACTCAATTTCAATAATTAAAATATCTGCCATTACAGACAAAAATAAAATCTACTACAGACTGTCTAGAATTGTCATTCATTCAAAGAACTGTGAGTGAACATACAAAAAGAATGATTAAGTAAATTCTATTATCTCCCCTTTAAAGTGTTTGACCATGATAGTATTCCTATATGCATATCCTAAGTTGCTATTCATCATTTCAATATCCATCTAGCCATTTAGAAGAAGTTGTGCTGATTTGTTGCAATATCGAAGAAAGTTAATTTGATTACCTCCCCTTCATTATGCAGGAGCCGGATTATATTCCTTTATGCATATTTATCTTTATTTAGCCTCCGTTAGGACAGATAGTGATACAAATAAAATATTAATAAATAACACATTTATATATAAGTTTGAACAGATGAAAAAGAGAAATTATTTCAAACATATTTCACTATGTCAATTAGCAGAGAAAAAATGTTTTGCAAAATTTGTTAACATAGGTGATGCATAAAAAAAACGTTTAAACCCGCTGCAATTGTTTGCACCTGTCCTAAGTCAGGAATCTGATGTTCAGTAGTTGTCGTTTGTTGATGTGGTTCATAGGTGTTTCTCGTTTCTCGTTTTTTATATAGATTAGACCGTTGGTTTTCCCGTTTTAATGGTTTTACACTAGTAATTTTTGGGGCCCTTTATAGCTTACTGTTTGGTGTGAGCCAAGTCTCCGTGTTGAAGACCGTACTTTGACCTATAATGGTTTACTTTTATAAATTTTGACATGGATGGAGAGTTGTCTCATTAGCACTCATACCACATCTTCTTATATCTATTTCTGCTCACAGTCTAGTTGAAATTTGGTTTCGCATGATAGAACAGATGACAGAAATCTTCATCAGCTAAGAAACCAACAAAAGACTAAAAGTGATCGGGTTAATACATAGTAACTTCCACCAGAATTCATGATGAATGTCAGATTTTAATTATAAGAAGTCACACGAATAGATTGTATGAATACACGTATCAGTGAAAAATATACCACATTTATCCCATAGATTAATATCTGTGTTCCTGTTGTGAACTTAACAACACATTGATACTATGTTACTAGCCTGTATACCCAAATACAGAAAATCTAATGAAACAGTCCATGCAGGATGAGGCTGGAATATTTTATGTATTTTCTTAAACACGTTAAAGTCACTGTCAACACACATTGCTGCCATTCTCTTATTTTGAATTCATAATAGAGCTGTAAACTATTCGCTTCCATGTACGCTGAGACGGAAACTGTTTTACTAGTCCGATGTTGACAAAAGTCAAAGGACAGACAGAAGATTGATGGAAGAACTTTGTTTGAGGTGGGTAAATAAGATGAAAATTTTAAATTCTAAATAACTGTATTCAATACATCATTTTTACTTACAACAAAGTTTTGGAAGCATCAGTTGTACAATTATTTACCTTTTTATCTACTGTAACACTCCAATGTTCTGGTTCTTCTTTATATACAGATAAAAAGTCGTCAGTTATGTGTACACTGCTACTATCACTTGGTGCTGTAATTTAATTAATTAGTAATAATTATCCATAGTAAGGCGTACTAATTTACTATTTATTGACCTTAACATAGCATTTCCTTCTTTTTATCTTGTATATGTCTATGAATCCCTAACACTGCCAGGTATGTTTTTAGTTTTGTTTCTACATATTTACATATTATGTAAAAAAAAAAAATCAGATTTTATTCTGCACAGAAAGTTTTTGGTTTGATTTAAAAAAAAAAAAAATTAAGCTTCCAGGTGTAAAATGGAAAAAAAACCTGAATGTCATATGTTACATCCTTTTTGAGACATCGTACTAGGAAACTAGAAGGATAATCATGTTTACTGGAAGTGGTGTGGCCTGGTGAAAACAGGAAACAGAAAATAGGAAAAGATCAGTTTTGTCTTTGATGTTTAATACCTTTTTTAATCTTTAGAGGATCCCGAAAGGTCTTTAAAAGCAGAAAGTAGAACGGAGCGTTTTCAGATCCTTATAAGCAAAGCTTGGACAAATGATCTGTATTTTAATCAGATTGTGGCTAGTTGTACTTTTAGGCATGAAATCACATTACTGCACACATAATTTGTACATTAAAAGTATTTTTTACATAGCATTATTCTTCAAAAGCTTTTTAAAGCTCAGCTATTTTGCATGTAAGCTAATAAAGACTGCAACCATAAAGGTTACCATATAAATTGGGAGATAAATCTAAAACACCAAAAATATAAAGTTATGTAACAAGGGAGATAACTTAAGTATCTACATACCATCAATTTCGTCAGATGACTCGTGAGATTCTGGAGGGCCATCTGTACTGGATCTGAAAAAAAAAACAATATAAAATAAAAATACTTCAGTATATTCAAATTACCCTTCTAATAAGTGAAATATGATTTGTAAGGTTATTTGAGGAACTGACACATCAAGCTTTACCAAAGCACTATATTAGGATAGTGTATGTTTTTTCCATGCAAAAGTTAATATAAACATGCCAGATACAAATACATATATAAATAAAGGAATGCATTTTGTAGATGTAATAATAAACTAGAAATGTAAATTGAATGATTGATTTTTGCTTGCTAAATGTCTTAGAAATATCAAGGAACATTACACAATTTTGATGGAATCTTTTAATGTTTGTACAAAGCAGCATAACTCAGTAATCCCTTAAAATGAAAAATGTGTACAAAAATTAATAATAAACAGCTGCGCCATGAGTGCATGATACGCCCTTCGTCTTGTGTGTGAATTTTTATGCAATAAGCATAAATAGTTTCTGACATACGGCATGACATGCGAAAACCCCCTTTTTTTTTACAAAAAACTCAATATCTCTAAAATAAAATTTTGAATCAAAACCAAAAAGTATACAGATCTTTAGATTAATATAACTAAGAAGTGTGTAAAATTTTAAGCAATAATCATAAATCGTTTTTGAGATATGGCGTGACATGTGAAAAACCCCTCCCCCTTTTTTTTACAAAATACTCAATAACTCTAAAATAAAATTTTGAATCATCACCAAAAAGTATACAGATCTTAAGGTTAATATAACTAAGAAGTGTGTAAAGTTTTAAGCAATAATCATAAACTGTTTTTGAGATACAGCGCAACATGTGAAAAACCCCTCCCCCTTTTTTAACAAAATACTCAATATCTCTAAAATAAAATTTTGAATCATCACCAAAAAGTATACAGATCTTAAGATTAATATAACTAAGAAGTGTGTAAAGTTTTAAGCAATAATCATAAATTGTTTTTGAGATACGGCGCGACATGTGAAAAAAAAAACACACCTGTTTTAGTTACTAAGTCCCGTAACTCAAAAAGCTTTAATCTTATTTTCACCAAAAAGTATACAGATCGTTTGACCATCATAAGAAACAACTATGTTAAGTTTCATGAAATTTGGATAAGTCATTCTCAAGTTACGGTGCAACATGTTTACGCCGGACGGACAGACAGACGGACGGACGCCGGACATTTGTATACCATAATACCTCCTGTCAAAAATATGACGGGCGTATAAAAATAATTGATTGAACATTTTGCTGTATAAAAAATTGTGGGTTTTTGAAATTTTCCCATTATAACAAGGAAAAATATAGACAATTTAACAATTTTTAATTCTCTTAGATAGTAATGTTTCAGTTTTCTGTCATGGCATTTTGAGAAAATCATTTTTTAATAATTATACATTAAAATTCATTTGCTTGAAATTAATAACTCATTTGATTCTTGATACTTTACAGTGTAAATTTTTGTCTAAGCTATAAGAAAATAATTCTGAAACAAGTAAAGGCTATTTTGGGTTTCATTTTGTTGAATTTAATGAATGATTGATTGATTGAAAATTATTGGACATCAGAAAATATTTACATTTTTGGGTTCCCATTTACTTGATGACACATACAAGGTAAAGAATTGAGAAGTCAAGAAACAGCCATAGAATGAAGATTGATTGTTGGTGTTTAACGACACTTTCAGTATTATAGGCTATATTGTGGTGGTCAGTTTTTATTGGTCAGGGAAGCAGGACTTCCAGGAGAGCACTACCAACCTTTGGCAGGAAAAACTGACAATCATAGTCAATCAAAATTGAAGTTGAAAGCACCTGCCACATATGGGGTTTGAACTCTCAACTTCAGCTAGTGATGCAGTGCCCCCCCCCCCTCCAGAAATGAAGAAACTTATCTTCTATTAAGTATATTTACTAGTGAGGACCTTCTGATTTAAGGTCATATTCTCTTTTATTAATTAGTCTTCTAAAGAAATACAGATAGTATTTTTCTAGACTTCTTCACATCTATTTCCACTTTTTTATACTTTTACTTAAAAAAAATGTCTGTGGTAGAAAAACAATCTTACCCTTTATAAAGTTTTTGTATATCCTCAATACTTCTTTTGATACTGCCACTAAACCTCCAAGGAGATTTTTTTTTATTTGTTTGTTGGGATACAATGAAAGTCATTTTTGTTTTGACAATGAACACTTAAATATGCAGTTAATAATTTAAACAAATACTGCATAAACAAACAAACTTCACACAAAACTGAAAATTGTTATTAGTTTAAACGTAGGAGGGGATTATAAAATGTAAAAAATCCTATTATAGTACAAGTATCTTAAGTTTTTGCATGGTTTTTTCACACGAGATGATGACATAGATGATATAATTGGGTCAATCGTGTATCCTCTTTGTAAATAACACGGAAATGAATAAACTTTATTGTTTACATATTCTGAGTAATTTTTTAAGTATTTCATTCAATTTTAAGCCTAGACAAACAGTCAAGTAATTTTCTAATTATAGAATACAGAGCACAGACATCAAATACATGTGATTTTCATTTCTGTGATAATTCTCCTAATAATATAATGATGAAAGAAACATTAATGTACCCAACGGAAAACTGAAAAAAGTGTAAGCAAAAAACAACATAAGTAAATGAGTTTGCTTTAAAGTAACCTCCTTTAACAGTGTATCTTTGGTAATGCGTTCTATAGCACTGTACCTTGTGTAAGGAGAGTGTTGTGATGTATGCATATTAAAGAACCTTTTCAAAAATTCTGTGAGCTTAGGTACCATGGCAAAATTTGTGCCCCTATTCAACATTGATATAACCTAATTAATACCTTTTCAGGCAAGATTTTCATTGGCATATTTTACCAGTATTGATTTGTTCTTCACCCTAACAAGATAAAGGAAGGGGTGGGGGAGGTGTGATCTGATCCCGACACTTACCCTTGAAGGAGAACTCCTCTAAATGTCTCCTGTTCCAAGTCTTCATCGATTGGCTTACTGAAATATGAAACATACCGGTAAGGGTTTTTTGAATAATGGGTTAAAAAAAAAGCAGAAGTTTAAAAATATATGTCAAAGTGTTGATAAGATTTAGCAGAAAGTATAAATAAATTATAATATGTTTATACATGCAATTAAAGCTTCATTTATATTACAGACAGATAAAGAAAGACAACTTGAAAAGTATTTTTAAAAGTATTTTTTTTAGCATACAACTTAGTTAAAATTATTTAATCAAGAACTCAGAATTATAGTGAAAGTAAAATGCAAAAACAAGCATGCTTACAGCCATCTGTTTCAGTCTGCTATTATGTGATTACAAACATGCAGTGATGAATATTTTATGCTAATGGATCAAGGCAAGTTGTTGATACCAAAAATTATATTATATTTGTGACTGAGGCTCTTTCCCCTTATTTTCAGGCTGTCGCATCAAGTTTTTTTTTACTGATTTTTACATTGCAATGTATTGGTTAGACTTGTTATTCGACTAAACAGGTTATATGAGTAGGCTGGGGACTGAAAAATCAAATAATGTGCTCGTTTCAAGCCAGCATCAAAAGTAAGTAAGGGTCAATAACTCTATACTTCTAACAGTATGTTTACAAAGTAGTGTAAATACTTCCAGCTTTGGGTATTTCTGTCTACTTGTTGGAAAACTTAACATTCCTCGGAACTTTAATTGTTAGGTTGCTGTCCCACTGAAGATCTCCACATATTGCTTACAATCTATGGGTATTACTACATGCACCAATAAAATAGAGCAGTGTTAATCATGTTGCTTCTTAATAATCTACTGGAGGTTAAACAATTAAATTTGCTTTCCCAAAACTTACTGGACATTGTGAAATTTGTGTGCCTTACGCCATGGTATATAGCCTGCTTGCACCAGCTGTGATGATAAACTGTTAAACACAAAGCTTCATGCAGTTAGTTTCCACAAAACCGTAACAAAAAACAATAGACCAGTTAATGAAATAACTATGTTGATGTAATTCACCCCTTTTTTTTTGTAATGGCAGTCAAATATAATCTATTGTCAGTAAAATTTTAAAGTTATGCAAATCTGAACTGGGAATATTTCCATTGGTTTCATATTTTGAACATTTTTGCCTTTTTCCGAAGGAGAGATGTGAAAGAAGGAAATATAATTTTCACATGTATTAAAGTTTCATATTCTGATGATTCATGTATTTGTTTCTATTAAGAAGATGTGAAAAAATAATTTTCACCTTTTTTATATGTGAAAATATAATTGTAACCTTTTTTATATTTATGAAAATATAATTGTCACCATTTTAAGTAAAAATATAATTGTCACCATTTTTCAGTGAAAATATAATTGTCACCATTTTTAAGTGAAAATATAGTTGTCACCTTTTTTATATGTAAAATTATAATTGTCACCATTTTTATATGTGAAAAAATAAATGTATAATTTTAAAGTTTTATTTTCTTTTATAATTTTGTGAGACTCTATGAAACTTTAACACTGAAAACAGATTAGGAGAACAGTCATGGATATGACAAGGAAATAAATTCTAAATTACTTTTTCCATACAAAACAGGAGTAAGCAGAAGAAATTACAGTTACAGGTAATAACATTTTGATTAAGTTCTGCTGATTTTTCAATGAATGGCATTCAAGAGACGGAAATCTCGAATAACTCTTATCAAAAAGTATGATTTATTAACTGGTCTATTGTTTAATATGTGTAAGTCTATACAGAATCTGATTAAAAGAAGAGATAAATAATTATAAGCAGAAATTTAAAACAATTAAATCAGTTACAGTGAAAAAATAAGAATATCATTCAAACATAAGATAAACAAAAAAAATCAAAATTAAAAACACATCAAATGAGTTTCTTTGAACTCTCAGGTTATAATAATCAATTTGTGTGCAATAATCGTGAAATATCTGAACTTTTTATTTTTGTTATACTCTGTGCAAAGGGAAACAACCCTTGTTACTCACCTAGACGGTGGCAAACTAAGCCGATGTATCACGTTGGGATTCTGAAACAAAAGAAATCATAAAAATATAATCAATTAGTCATGTTTTCATATTTCCTGTTTTATCAGTCAAAAGATTTTTCAGCCATATTTCATTTTAAATCAAAGATACATCTACTAAATTCTTGTATTATTTATGAATGTTTTTAAATCAACAGCTTCTGATAAATCAGTTGTATAAAACAAGTAGCTTTCACTATCTTTATTTACGGTATTCAAATATTGGCTTTTTTAATTTAAAATTTCCATTTACTCTTTGATCTCTAGTGATCATAAATAGTGTGACAATTCTCAAGTCAACAACTTTCTTCTTTTATTTAAAAAGATTATTGCAAAATCAATAAAATATGTTTCATTTATATTTACACTGAAAAGTTTAAAAGCTTCCATTTGACAAAAATGTGACTTTTTTGAAAAGTGTTTATTTTATCAAATATGTGTGAATGTTACTAAGAAGTTAATGAGGAATATCAGAAAAATTTATGGACAAGAACATCCAATTCATATTTGTTGGATTTGATGATTAGAATTCTAATTGCTATTAAAATGCACAGATACAGTCTAGGTTATGACCTACTCCCTCAATAAACTTAGTATACTGATCTATAGCTATACTATTCAAAATTTGATTTAAAACAATGTTTCCAGTGCTCTATTTTGTTGTAATTGTTGATACTACCAAACACCTCCCAAATTCAACCGATAAGCATACTTGAAAACACAGCCATGAACTTTAATTTTTATGATGTTCTTATCAGAAAACAACAAAACAGTAGCAGGATGAAATTAACATGCTTCAGGTGAAATGAACAAAAAACTGATAAGTTTATCAGGAACCTTGGGCTACTGGACAATTATAGACTCATTTCTCTGATAAACAAATTAATATGGTCTGAGGTTAACTATAACTTATCAATCAGAAGTATTTATAGAAAGCCAAAGGCTTGTAAACAACATCAGAGAAATGATGCAAGGTTATTGATTTAAAAATTATTGATGCATCCTAAAAAAAATTCCCTTTTTCTGTGCCTATAATATGTGATTTCCATCTAGGGAATTAAAGAACTGACTTAAATTGGTAGGGTTGAGTGTTCAAAAACATGTTTAAACCTGCTACTTTCTATAAGTGCCTCTCCCAAGTCATGAGCATGTAAATCAGTGGTAGTCATAGGTTGCTGTTTGTCATAATATTTGTTTTTTAGTTTATTGTTAAATCATAAATCTCCTTACATTGTTGTACGTTGATGATGGGAGTTTTTAACAACCTTGACTGGCTATACAGCCCTCGCACGGTCAGAATTTATACATTTTGTTAAGTTGGAGCCTTTTAAAGCTGCCTAAGCATGTATTTTGCTCAATGTTGTAGTCACCACCATTTGGACTATGGTGGAAAGTTTTCTCATTGGCAATCATACCACATCTGTTAAGTTCTATATTCACAAATGCATAAGTCAACTAATTAGTACTAAACCACACAGTGCAAACACAAGAGAAAATATATTCTAGAACCTCACAGCAATCGACTAAAATTTATAACTTGGTGTACTCCTGAAACCTCACAGCAATTTACTAAAATTTATAACTTGGTGTACTGAAAGTGTATATATACACAGCAAAGGTGAAATGATAAATTATAAAATTTGCAAATAAACTAGGTTATTAAAATCAAATCACTAAACAGACTAAAGGGATTTCTAACCATTCAAACTATTACAAAATACAGTCAAATCTTTCCAAAGACTTAACAAGGACAAATTCCTTCCTTAATAATCAATTAAAAATCTTTTACATCAAAATTTGAGTTCAGGGACTCTGCCAAAACGTAAAAATTCTTTCCACATAGAGCTGTTTTGATTTCAATGCTATTTGTAAACACATGGATTTTTATAAATTCTAATGATAAAAGTACTTGGTTAGAAATCCTTTAAGTTAAAACTAAAATCTTGACAAAAAAATATATTTAGTCAGTACATACTACTACAACTCTCAACTGAAAATTAAAAAAAAACGTTCTACTAACAACCAGGAAGGAAACTGGCATGTATATACTGTCTAGTCAATAATATACTACCATAAGTCAAGGACATTAAAGGTCATGCCTTTTCACTGAACCATTTTGTTATTAAGATAAAGCTGTTATAAACATAACATGAAGCAATATTAGTAACCAAAGATAGTAGAAATGTAAAATGCAGGATCATGATGTTTCGTACTTTTAAAAATTGGAAAAGCAAAAATAAGCTTTGGCATTCTGAAATTTTTTTTGAAAGATATTTAGATAGGACGGCTACTAAAAAAGTTATAAAAGAAAAGAAAACTTAAAAATATCTAATGATTCAAAAATGCAATAAAAAAGAGGCCAAGAGTATATAAAGTAAAATAGAAAATTTGGCAAAAAGGAATTTATACTACATTTCTTGTTCTCAACTGCAAAGGAAAGGAGATATATTTAGAAATACATATTTTTCTAAAATTAAACAAATAATTAATCGAAAATGTACAATTAGTCCATATTAATTCTATATTTTTGAAGTGACTTTGTATTAATAAAACATATAACTACATTAGTTACTAAGGAACACAATAAGTTTACTATTATATAATTTCACACTTTTAAAAATTATTTTTTCCTGCAGTTAATTATTATTCTGTCGATTACAATAAAGTGAAACAAATATTCATATAGAGACATCAAAACTAATCACACAGCAACAAACAATAATTAACAATACCAAATAACTCGTAACTATAACTTACCTCTAGCTCAAGCTCTGGGTCTGAGTCAGGAATAGAAGACAATATATTTGACGAGCCTATGCTAGCGCTGAGAGGTGTTGAGGTTACCTGTGAACGAGATGGTGCAGACGCTGAACGGTTGTCCTTGAAAGACTGTGTGTGGCGTAAGCCTGTTACTGAAGCTATAAAAGAAAGGAATTACATTTTATTACATAAAACGTGATAACAGAATCACAAAAAAAAAACTGCTTAGTACAACAGATCACACAAACTACTAAGTAAGTTTGACTAATTTGTTGCATTTATAATGAAATCAACCCTGCTAGAAAAACATCTGAATATACATGATAAACAATGTAAACTTACACAGCTGATAAACAATGTACATTCACACTGCTGATAAACAATATATATTAACACTGATATAAACAATGTATATTAACACTGATGATAAACAATGTATATTAACACTGCTAATAAACAATGTACATTTTCACTGATGATAAACAATGTATATTTACAGATGATAAACAATGTATATTTACACTGATGATAAACAATGTACATTTACACTGATGATAAACAATGTACATTTACACTGACGATAAACAATGTATATTTACACTGATGATAAACGATGTATATTAACACTGCACATTTACACTGATGATAAACAATGCATATTTACACTGATGATAAACAATGTATATTAACACTGCTGATAAACTATGTATATTTATACTGATGATAAATAATGTATATTAACACTGCTGATAAACTATGTACATTTACACTGCAGATAAAAAATATGCATTTAGGTACACTGCTGATAAACAATATACATTTACATTGCTGATAAACCATTTACACAGCCAATAAACAATCTACAATTACACTGCTGAAACAAAAACAATGCACATATACACTGTTGATAAACAATATGCATTTATGACTCCTATAAAGCTGGAGGTATGTTACTTAATAAAAAGCATTGGCGATTTGTCCTGTTTATAAAACTAAGATGTCAGAATTTTACTGCTTATCTGACAACATTGACACATATAACTAAATTTTAGTGCCTGGTCAAACAAATAGGACAAATTTGTTCCACTGATGACTTGCAGTAATGGCAAACTTTTATTTCAATTTCTATTCTTTTATAGGTGAAGTTATTGTGTTTATAGGTCAACATAAACACAATATCTATGATTGACCAAATAAGTGTGGTCAGCTGTTTGAACAGTGACAGTCCACACCAGTAAATAATAAAACTGCTGACCATGTCAACAAATGTCCAGTAGATACCATCTACATCCAATTTTATTCTCACTAAAGTCAATCTCATCAAAATGACAAACAGGACCTCCTGGACATTTATAGATTAATATTTGAAACTTATGTAAAAGTTCCTTTGTTCTTCTTATTCAAGGCAATAATCTGTAGAATTAAGTGTAAACACTTTGAAATTGATTGAAATGATTACTTTGTAAAACCAGTACTGGTCAGCATCTGTCCAAAAATTCGGCCTATTATACAAATTCAAGTTTTCACATCTATACAATTACAGTAACAATCAAAACGTAATCAGTGGCAGATTCAGGGGGTGTACACCCTCTCTTGGATGGGAAAATATATAATTTTTTAGCATAAAATTATCCAATCTAAAAAAAAATTCTCCAGTTTTCAGGCATTACCCCCTCCATGTCAAAAACCCTAGGTTTGACCCTGGTAATCAAATTTAAAATGTATAAACTATCCTTTTCAAATCATTATCTTAGTAAATCAGTTTAGTACTCTGCAATAAGCACTTTTTTTAAAAAAGAAATCAATCGTGACTATCGTATTTGATTTCCTTACTTGAAAGACTATTTCAGGATGAAGAATAGCGAAAAAAAAACATTGTGCTTGCTTCCTGGTATGACATGTTAAAATTCATTCTGGAGTGAAAAACATGTACACAAGTATCAATTGACCACAGCTGAGTTGCATACAAATTATCAACTGTACAAAATTGCAAAATCGCAAACTTATCTTAACTATAAATGTACAATGACTCTGAGGACATAGCAAACATAATTAATGCAACTGCAAACCAAATATCATTGACTTATTGAAAGTGGTTACCAAAAAACTAACCTGAAATAATGAGTAAATACAAAACCAATTGCTTCAAAATGATATTGCTACATGTATCACTATTGTTGATACTGGAAAAGCAACATCTATAGTATGCCTTCCAAGACTATCTTTTCAGGCAATGCAAAAAAAATTAAATAAATAGCTTAACTTCTGACATAATATTTGTTAGGAAAGTTCAATTATATTTGCAAGGTACTGTAACTTGTAAAAACAGTTGATGACCCAGAAAGATCATAAACTGTCCCTAAAGGTAAACTATAAACAAAATAGACCTTCTGGTCTCATAAATGTCACTGGTCTAAAAATACATTAACCAGACAACTTTCTGGCTCCAAAATCCTCAAGTTCAATCAACTTTAACTAAATTGATTTGATTATAAATTTGGGTGTTTTTTTTTGTAAATTTGAAAGTAGAATCACTAATGAAGCTGCTCAGTGCTTGGTACAATTTAGATGAGGACTAAAATCATTGAGTATGAAGGGATACTTGTACTAAGTACTGATAACCTTATGCTTTTACATCTGTAATAAATGTATTATCATTTTCTCTTTTATTCAACAGAGTACATTGTAAAATATAATATTCATTTATCAAGACAGAAATAAATTCGGAGTCTTGTGTTTTCAGTAATCATTTTCTCTGTAATACTCATATATATATCAAGATAGAAATATATTTGGTGTCTTAAGTTTTTGAGTTATTCCCAGCAACATCAGAATAGTACTGTGACTGATACGTCCATTTTTTCATCTGTCTTCACTTTATATTTGCAGAATTTCCTTCATCAATGACTGGAATGCAATGGTACAAAAATCTTCACTGCCGATGGACAATTAATTAAAATAATAATTAAAAATTTATGCTTTTAAATATAATAAAATGCTTCGCTGGGCGCAGCTTGATACGACCGCAGAGGTCGAACCCTGAACAGTTGGGGCAAGTATGGACACAACATTCAAGCTTGATACAGCTCTGAATTTGGATTGTGATTAAATATTTGACACAGCATAGGTTTCTGACACAGAAAGAATGTGGACTAAGAACTTCAATTTTTTTAATTTACCTATTATGGTCCAATGTCCAAAATCAAAATACATGGTTAGATTCAGCATATCAAAGAACCCCATATATTCAATTTTTGTTGAAATCAAACAAAGTTTAATTTTGGACCCCAACTTGGACAAACTTGAAAACTGGTCCCATAATCAAAAATCTAAACACATGTTTAGATTCAGCATATCAAAGAACCCCAAAAATTCAATTTTTGTTAAAATCAAACTAAGTTTAATTTTGGACCCTTTGGACCTTAATGTAGACCAATTTAAAAAACGGGACCCAAAATTAAAATTCTAAATACACGGTTAGATTTGGCATATCAAAGAACCCCAATAATTAAATTTTTGATGAAATCAAACAAAGTTTAATTTTGGACCCTTTTGACCTCAATATGAACCAATTTGAAAGCGGGTCCACAAATAAAAAATCTAAATACATGGTTAGATTCAGCATATCAAAGAACCCCAAGAATTCAATTTTTGATGAAATCAAACAAAGTTTAATTTTGGACCTTTTTGACCTCAATGTGGACAAAGTTGATAACGGGGCCCAAAAATCAAAAATCTAAATACATGGTTAGATTCAGCATATCAAAGAACCCCATATATTCAATTTTTGTTGAAATCAAACAAAGTTTAATTTTGGACCCCGATTTGGACCAACTTGAAAACTGGGCCCATAATCAAAAATCTAAATACATGTTTAGATTCAGCATATCAAAGGACCCAAAAATTCAATTTTTGTTAAAATCAAACTAAGTTTAATTTTGGACCCTTTTGACCTTAATGTAGACCAATTTGAAAACGGAACCAAAAATTAAGAATCTAAATACACGGTTAGATTCGGCATATCAAAGAACCCCAATAATTCAATTTTTGATGAAATCAAACAAAGTTAAATTTTGGACCCTTTGGACCTCAATGTGGACCAATTTAAAAACGGGGCCCAAAATCCAAAAACTTAATTCCAAGGTTAGATTCAGCATATTAAAGAACCCCAAGAATTCAAGAACAAAACCCCATTGAAATTGATCAAGAAATAAGCAATTTATACGAAGTATCTTCTTTTGCACAATACTGTGCAATTGAATATTTCTTGCTATTGTGCAATACTGTACAATTGACAATTTCTTGCTATTGTGCAATATTGTGCTATTGGATATTTCTTGCTATTGCGCAATACTGTGCAATTGAAGATTTCTTGCTATTGAGCAATACTGTGTAATTGAAGATTTCTTGCAATTGTGCAATACTGTGCAATTAAAAATTTCTTGCTATTGCACAATGCTTATTATATAATAATTTACACATCCTGTTTGGTGTGTATCTCCTACCATATCATTATTATTTGCTTTTAAATATTAATCAGAAATAACCAACTTAAAATGGAAAATTTTAAAAGAAAAAAAAAAGGAAAAAAAGAAAAAAAAAGAAAAAAAAAAAATCCCCCCCCAAATTTTTTGAACCCCCTTATGATTCATCACCCCTAAACTCAATCCCAGCCTTCCCTTTGTGGTATGGTACCTTGCAGTACAATTTCAGAGAGATCCATACACTTGAACACAAGTTATTGTCTGGAAACTAGAAAAATGCTTATTTTTGGCCCCTTTTTGGCCCCCAATTCCTAAACGTTTCGGGCAATTACCCCCAAACTCAATTCCAGCTTTCCCTTTGTGATATGGAACCTTGTAGTACAATTTCAGAAATATCCAAACACTTACACACAAGTTATTGTCATGAAACTAGAAAAATGCTTGTTTTTTGCCCCTTTTTTGGCCCCTAATTCCTAAAATTTTGAGGCAATTACCCCCAAAATCAATTACAGCCTTCCCTTTGTGATATGGAACCTTGTGGTACAATGTCAGAGAGATCCATACACTTACACACAAGTTATAGTCTGGAAGTTACAAAAATGCTTATTTTTGGCCCCTTTTTGGCCCCTAATTCCTTAACTGTTGGTACCATAACCCCCAAAATCAATCCCAAC